TTCTGCAAAACCTTAATTTTATATAATTTCACTTGTTGATATTGGGTACTATTTCCTGTGCCCCTGGGGTTCTGTTCAGAAAGTCCTTCCTTATGCCCATGACTTCCAATATTTTTACCCATTTATCTTCCATTAGTTAAGCATTTGTTTTAACTTTTAGTTATTTGATTCATTTTGACCTTACTTGAGTACATGGTGAGAAATACGTGACCAGATTCAATCTTCCACGTGTTTTCCCAACAACATTCATTGAAGAGGCCACCTTCTGTCCAGCACATGCACTGAGCCTCCCCAGCCCAGCATGGTGCTGTCGCTGTCGCTGTCGCTTTGCAGTATAACTTCAGGTCCAGGACTGTGCGGCCTCCCTTTTTGCTTTTGTTACCCAAGACAACTTTGGTATTCTTAGTCTCTTTTAGTTCTACATGAACTTTAGGATTGTTTCCTTCAATTCTGTGGAAAATACTGTTGGGATTTTTAAAATTTATGTATTTATTTTTATTTTAAAGAGAGAAAACAATTAATAAAAATGATACAGAATTTCAAAACAAGATGATAGGAAATTAAATGTTCATTACATTGCATACTGTTATCTTCAAAGTAGTTGCTCAGATTACAAGATACAGGCATGCAAATTGGCCAGACAATATAAGCACTAACTGTTCTTTTCAGTGAACTAACAGAAATTAGTAGTACAGTTGTCTTACCTATTCTGTGTGTGTGTGTGTGTGTGTGTGTGTGTGTGTGTGTGTGTGTGTGATTTTGGCTGAGACTGTGTTAAGTCTAGATATCTGTTTTGGAAATGTATCCATTTTGACTATATTGGTTCTGCTGATCCAGGAACAGAGCATATCCTTCAGGTTTCTGATGTACTCCTTGATTTTCTTCTTTAATTCCTATAGTTTTCATTGTAGAGCTTCGTGATCGACCATAATCCACACATCTTGCTGCTAGATATCTTTGATTTGAATCCTATAACCTAACATTAAATAGCTGCCTGATGGAGCGTTTATGCTGTACCGCTGGTGGCTTAAGCCAGTGGAGAAGCGTTAACTTCCTTATGGTAATTCCTAAGTACTTCATGTTCCTTGGCCCTGTAGTGAATGGGACTTTTTTCTTAATTCATTTCCCTATAGGTTCATTCTTAGTGCACGGCAGTGTTACTTATTTTTATGTGTTATTTTGTATTCTGTATATTACTGAACTTGTTCATTAATTTTAAGAGTCATTAAGTGGATTGTTTTGGTATTTTACATAGAGCAATGATGGCAAACCTGTGGCATGCATGCTCTTTTCATTTAAGACAAAATATAGTAATGGATGGATTATTTTTTCTAAACCTTAGTATTGAAGTTTAATTGCAGTGTGGGCTCATTGTCATAAGTACGTGGGTTTTGGGTTGTAGTTTGGGCACTCGTCTTTAAAAGGTTCGCTATCACTGGTCTAGTTGATTCATCTGTGATGGCGGGGTACTGAGGTCCCTCCTATAATTATGTTTATGCTTATCTGATCTTTTATGTTCACTGCTTATTTGCATTGTGAAGACTTTGCTGCATATATACATTAATAATTGGCATCTCTTCCTGATTGTTTCTTTAATCATTGTGTAGTGACCTTCTTTGCCTGTTTTGATACGTTTTGGCTTGAGGTCCACTTTGCCTGAATGTGGGATCGTTTCATCTGCTTTTATTCATGTTCCCATTGAACGTAATATTGTTTTCCATTCTTTAGTTTTTAGTCTGTGAGCTTCTTTTTGGATTAAATGAGATTTTTGCATAGTGCATATGGTTGGATTTTGTTTTTTGATCCATTCTTCCATTCTGTATCTTGATTGGGGCATTGACTGGGGATGTGAGACCACAGGCATTGGCAGTTATTGCTTTTTTTTTTGTTGTTTAAACAAGTTATTTAACTGAAATGAACTTACATTTGTTTCTGAAGTGACTTCCATTTATTGTATTTTACTTTTCTATTTTAAGGAAGGGTCTACAGGGTGTTCAGGGTCTCACTACTAGACTGGACTTGTAGTGATCTGCCTGTTTACAGCCTCCAAAAAGCTGGGATTACGAGCTCGTGCCACCACACCCATTCTCAATTGCCACCTCAGCACACCCTGGGGGTGGGGCTGGCACGGCAGGCGTGGGGATCAAACCCCTGGCCCCTGAGCCTGATTGCAGGTGTTTTAATCCACTGAGCTATTTGGCTGGCCCTTGACTTCCAATTATTTTGATAAATCTTTTTCCCATGATGATTTTTAGGATCTACAACCCAATATAAATATTTTATAAACATTTGAATATTTGGGTATACGCCTGCACAATACTTCAGCAATATCTTTCAGCAAGAAAAACACTGAAGAGTAAAGACTAGACATAATTATTAGGTATAGTGAAAATCTGCTGCAAATATTTCTGAGGTAAGAAGGCACCACATACCTGTTCAACTAAGAAAGCCACCCTTACAATACAGGATGATTTTATTTTTACATAGGACCTAGAACACTTAAGCTGCCAACTACGTGCTGAATGGCAGATCAACACCCCCAGCTTATGCCATGAATTCATAGGGAATAGGTTCCAGTAGCTCAGGCTCCTTCCCATTGGTCCTCACAGAGTGTGCTTCTCTGGGAGGGGCAGGCTGGTGCTTCAGCTGAACCCAGGTACCTTTCTCTTTGGCTTCCTTCTTTTTCTGATCATTTTCCTTGACACGTTTCAGGAAGCTCTCATGACTTTTTGAGTGTTTAATAAGCTCAACGTGCACATTAATCCTCTTAGCAAGTATCTTGCCCTTAACTTGCTTGCTAGCAACAGTGCCAAGAGCCTGCTGCGTAACGTGGAGACTCTTGCGTCTTCCAGGGTAACATGCGTGAGGCATTGCTTTTTGCACAGTGTCCATTCCCTCGATGTCCACAATATCACCCTTTTTGTAGATTCTCATGTATGTGGCCAAAGGAACAACCCCACGTTTTCTAATAGGCCTGGAGAACATATACTGGGTTCCCCTCCTCTTGCCCTTTGTGTTAGCCATTTTGGCAAATTCCTGGCAGATGGCGGTTCTGGCCAAAAGGAAGGAGCAGTTATTGCTGGTGGGTACTGACTTGTTGCTGTTGTTGCTTTATGTTCATGTTAGCAACTCCCTAACTTTCCCTTCTCTTGGCTACTTGCTCTTCTGATATATTCATTGTATTAGATCTTTTGTCATTTTAACTTCAATGTCTCTTTCTAGGGTATCTCTGAGAATTTTTTGGAGTGCTGGTTTAGTGATCATGAATTTCTGTGCATAGTCTTTTCCCCAATTCTTTGCTCCTTCTCTTTCTTTCTTTCTTTCTTTCTTTCTTTCTTTCTTTCTTTCTTTCTTTCTTTCTTTCTTTCTTCCTTCCTTCCTTCCTTCCTTCCTTTCTTCCTTCCTTTCTTCCTCTCCTTCTTTCTTTCCAGGGGGTTGTGGTGTGGTCCAGTGTGGGCCTGCTTGCAGTTGGTGGCGGGTGGTGCCACACAGTCCCTTGATTTCTTTTGCTGTTGTTTGGAATACTCCAGTCTGTGTCTGAGTCCAAGATCAGCCTGGGATGTAAACTTCATCTCTCTAGTTCTCCTCCGAGTCTTTCCTTCAACACAGACACATTATTATCACCCCCCTGAGTATCATCCTCTTTAACGTCTGGCCCACAAAAGGGAAAAAAGAGAAATGAGAATAGCATGAGGGGAACTAGCCATTTAAATCCCTTTCCTTGCATGGGAGGGCTTGAAATGTGGGAGGGATGTGACAGTCATCACCACCAAGGCTCTGTGTGGGTATCTGTGGGGTGCAGTGGCAGGAGGTACCTGGGGCACAGACCTCTGATCTTCAGAGAAGATGCTTTGCCTGCACTGGCTCCTGCTGGTGGTGTGAAGGTTGCTCCCGGGCAGTGTCACATGGGATCGGGGTGGCAGATGGGCAGCTGCTAATATGCTAAGATCAGAGTTGACAAAGATTAGCTGCAGTTTTACAGTACGGGCTTTCAGATGGGCATTTCCAGTCTTAGAATTTCAGAGTACTTATGGCAAATAGACTCTGCCGGGGTGACTACTGAGCAGCCGGGCAGCAGAATCATCTCCTGCCTTTGGTTACTTAGCTCTTGTAACTGGTTGAGAATTTAGACATTGTCCATCAATGGGTGAAAGGACAAAGAAGGTGTGGCATGTCCACTCAATGGTGGTGTAGCACTATGCATCAAGAAAAACAAGCGTGAGCCATTTCTGAGATGGCCCACGCACCCTGAGATCACAGCGTGCAGTGTGGCGAGAGTCCGACAGACAAGCTAATCACGTGGTTTCTCTTATGTGAGAAACTCAGAATATAAATTGGAAAACAAAAATTAGATGACGGGAGTCAGGGAGACAGATTTTTCTCAGAGGGAAACGAGATCAGTAGATGGAGAGGGGAGAGAAAGGGGTGAAAAGGAACCAAGAGGTACGATGTCCAAGTGCCAACTCCACACAAGATATGTAAATATTGTGTAATCAAACGTGTTCAAAAAAGAAAAAAGGGAGAGGATGGAAGGATGGATGAAGGGGGAGGGAAGAAAGGGAAGAGGATAAGAAAAGGAGTTAGGATGCAGAATGTAATGTGCCAATTCCCCACGAGAAAGGTAAGCGTTTTGAATTGCAAATGTATACTAATGAAAAAAAGGGGAAAATTTTAAAGAAGTGAAAAAGATGTTTCTCTAATACATCAAAGATCAAAGAAATTAACAGAAAAAGGAAATTTTGTGAATTTTTGTTCAATATAAACAGATCGACTGTCCTCTACACTTAAAATAGTAAAGTAGCAATGAAAATAGCTTGAACCAGTCAAGCATAAATATCATATATGATGTATCAGTAGGATTTACTATTTAAATATATTTTGCTCTATGATCTGGAAAATCACAAATGAGGAAAGTGTGTATTTTTGCTTCACTTTTCTTACAAATGTCTTCATCAGTGGAAGATGACGGCGGCCACATGACACTGTATGTTCCATTACAGCTCGTCACAGCCACATTGGATGGGAAGCTGCAGCTGTTCCTGCCCGAGTAACTGCTGCCCTGCTGGCACCAGGAGCCAGGGCCACAGTGTGCTGAGGAGGAAGCCGCAGTGCCTCCCTCAGCACGAGCGGGGTGGCTCTGCACCATCAGACTCGCTCTCTGTGGGCCTCTGCGCTGTGGGCCACGCTCAACAGAGGAGCCATCCGTTCCTCACGGGCCCATCCTGCAAAAGTGGGAATGGAACCAGTGCTTTTGCACAGATGAGAGAAGCCAAAGCAGAATATTCTTCAATAAAATATAAAGTAGTGTTTGTTTCATAATTGGAATTTGAGGAGATGGAGGGAGGGGAAAAGAAGTAAGGAGAGAAAGAAGTAGAAAGGGAGAGAGGGAGGGAGGGCGAGAAGAGAGAGAGAGAGAGAGAGAGGAGAGAGAGATGGAGAGAGAGGAGAGAGATGGAGAGAGAGGAGAGAGGGAAAGAGAGAGGAGAGAAAGAGAAGAGAGATGGAGAGAAGCAGAGAGACAGAGAGACAGAGAGAGAAACAGAGAGAGAGATTCATTTTCAGTCAGTGAAAACAAGGCAGGAACCAGTGCTCAGCGCTCATTGCTGGCCGGCTGACTCAGCTGTGGCTCTCTGGGAGCCCTGTGGTTGCACACAGTGGACAGCACCGTGCGCGTCTGGGCTCTGAGGCTTCCTCCTGTGACTGATGACTGAACCACCTGATGTTGAGTCCCCACCGCAGTGCCTCAGAATCAAGCGGCCTTTTCAGGAATCAGCTGCCTGAGCTGGTCTCCTAGCAGCCCAGAGCCAGGTCTTCATGGTTTCCTAGAAGACCCAGGATGCTTCTGGAGCATTCTCAGTTCCGAAGGCTGCAGCAATGTGTGGGGCCTTCCATGTGAGGACTCCAGGGCTGCCTGAGAAGATGCAGACCTCAGATAATCCTTCCCTCCGTGAACTGGGGGGGGGGCATGCTCCACCTGGCAGGTTGCTGGCCGCCCCCCGCCCCCATCTTCTCAAGAGAAAAGAGATGGAGGCTGTGAACCACCTCCCGAGGAGCTCAGAGGGGGCCCCTGGGCCCTGTGCAGGAATCTTCTCACACTGAGCATGTTGCATACATTCTTGCAACATTTTTGAGAAATACATGTAGACTAACTCATCTTTATTGTCAATAGCTGAGTTATCTACATTTTTTGTTCATGAATGTTGGTTTCTAGTTTTTGTCATGTATTTCTTTGTTTTGTATAAATTTTCTCTAAAGTAGGCCATGACTCTCGTTATGCCAAATTTGGCTTTAAGAAAAATTTAAATGGTTATTAGTGACTGAACAATATATCAAGAAAAACTTGAATATAAAGAATTTTCATTACAGAGTGTGAAAAGAAAACATAAGATGACATAAAATGAGAAGAGCTACTGCTAAGGGTCAGGGGAGTTTCACACAGAGTGCCCATGAGGACCTGCTGTGACAGCAGGACAGAGGGCAGAGGGGGAGGGGTGGCCCTGTGGTGGGACCCTGAAGGTCCTGCCGGGTGGACCTGCGGCTTTCAGGGCAGAGTAGGCGTGCTTGCTGTGCGCTACCTCAGAACTCTTATCTCTATGCTTTTGGGAAATTTACTTTTTTTTTTTTTTTTGGTGGTATGTAGAGAGCCCATGCCGCGAATCGCGGCTTCAGAACCAAAACTCCTAGGGACCATTGGGTGAGGCCTGCTGCAGCCCTTGAAGCCTGCGCTAGATTACCCCTC